ACACTATAAATATTAATTTTTTTGTAATATCCATCAGCAATTGATGTGACATCACAAAATTAATTGTCGCTTGCCAGTTCAATAATCAAGACAGCTAACTTGTCAAATAAATTATCATGCAATTTCATTAATACTAAAATAAATAAGAGTTTAAAACTGCAAAAAATGTGGAACGCTTCACGATTTTGCGTGTCATCCTTGCGCAGGGGCCATGCTAATCTTCTCTGTATCGTTCCAATTTTAGTATATGTACTGCCGAAGCAAGTACAATAGGATGCCCTTACAATATTGCTTATATACTGAATAATACATTCGTGTATACTAACGAGAAAAACAAAGTTACAAGTTTTCGCCATCTATTGACACAATTGGGCACTACACGACATAACCTCACAAACAAGTATGAGACACTAACAATAATTTTATAAATAGAAAACGAAACAAAAATCGGAGATTATTTAATAATCAATTAAGTACAAAATAATTTTCGTGGTAAGACTCGATGCGATGTTTTAATGACGTTATCACAATTAAATCTCGGTGTGCTTCTTTGTTCGAGAATATACCATTGATTCAAGTATATTTGAATCAAGAATGTGCATTTTACATTAAAATATAAACAATAATTTGTGTGTATACAATGTAAATTATGTTTTACGTGTCATCATAAACAATCTATACCTATTTTTTATCGTTACACTCTCTGAAACTTCTTCGATTATATATTTTTATTTATCAAACATACTAAACTCAGACATATTAATAATCATAAAACATAATTATTTTTTTCTGTATTGTGTCATTCAATTTATTATTAATAATTTATATATTTTACATTACTTGTACTACATAAGAAAATTTGTGTAAACTTAATTTATCCCGTTTCTAATGATTAAAGTGGAAGTTTCTGTTTACTTTAAATTAAATCATATATATATTTGATTTTTTTATTTATAGATCTGTTAGAAGTTATGCGATTGAAAGGATGGAGATATGGTATATTTATTGGAGGTTTCGTTGGATTTTTTGGTTTATGCTGTTATGCCACCATGATACGACCCATGCTGAATTCTGAACCATATAGTATATATCTGCCTTTAGACTATTAATAAACAATCAAATGGTCTGCACAGTTAATTATTATCTCAATAAACTTTTTTTTCAGGAAGAATTCGAAATCAAACTTTCTCAGATAGATCTTCATAACTTAAATTTGTAAAAATTGTTGGAAGTTCTTGTAAAATTATTGAACATGTTAATTACATATTATGATGTTATGCAGTTTCTTTCTATATTCCCAAAAATTCTATAAAGGATAGGTAATATAGATATAAAATTAAATAGATTGTTTGCTATACAAAATATATAATATAAATGTCTGTTCATATTTATTAAAACTGTATAATTATGGAAAGCACATAAATCATAAAAAAAATTGTACTCGAAGACTCCATGGAACTGACTTTTCTATGACTTATGTGCTTTTTACATAATCGGCGATTCGATTATCTGTACAATTATATCACATATAAGAAATTTCGCTCGTAAACCGACTAGAAATTTCGTTGCAAGTATATAGTTTTGTAACTATATGCACATGCATATGTAATAGGCCTCATATTAAAAATCCTCATCATCACACACATCGAGGAAGACATCAAATGCTTGTCGATTGCAATTGCCTTCTGCGGTGAAGACATATTTGTGAAACGTTCCGTCCATACATACAGCTGAAATTACAAAAAAAAAATGGAAATATAAAGGAAGAAATAGAGTTCGACATTTTTTGCAATATAAATATAGTACCTATCACAGAATTGTGTGTACCAAATGCACAAACGCAAGCGCATTCTGGAGGTACTGTGAAGGTAGCCAATGCCCACTGACTCTCGACATAATTGCCCAAGAACCCCATATTTGAAAAGCTAAAAATAAGATACAATATATGAAAACTTGTTTGATTGAACCGAAAGATAGTATTACAACTATTGTAAAGCTATAAACAAACTAGAGATCGAGATTAGTTTGGAATCTAATCAAAGCAAGTTCACTAAATTTGATTTTCTCTTTCTTCATATTCTTGAGACTTCCAGACTTGAGATTTCCTTCGGGTCCTTTCTATATATAAAGATTATGCGTTTTGCGGGTTTCTTCCGTGTCCAGATTCATTCTTGAAATGCCAACGTTTCGTGAATACAGTATCAGGCTGCTCCTCGCCCTGATGAACTGAACTGCAAGGTTCACAAAACGGCGTTCCAAGAATGGATCTGGACACGGAAGAAACCCGCGAAATGCATAATCTTTCTTTTTCTTCATTACTTAATTAAATTTCAATTCAATTTCAATCTTTAGTCTGATCACGGCTTAAGGATTTTTTAATGTGATTGCATTTAATTCCTCAAGGATCTAAATATATGAACTAATCATATTAAAGAACAGTCTTGAAATAGTTGTAAAGCTGCTTTTTCTATTGAACGCAGCCTTTATTTAAAAAACGATATAATCTACATACGTGGATCGTCGATTCAAACTGGTATTTTTTAGGGCAAATATATGAACTGTTCCTTTATCGCTCGAAACACATAAGAATTCCGAATCTCTGCTGAATGTTATGCTAAAAGAAAAAAAAATTAAGAAATATTTAAAAACTGAAAAATATTATTTGCATTATGGTTGAGTGCTATAACGCGTTAGATATTAATCTTGTATAACCAATAGAGAGTAGCAGGATCAGCACCGCGCCTTAATTCAACCAATAAACTCCTGCGTACAGAATCCCACACTCTGATTAAAGTCCCCTGAACAGATGCAGTCGCGATCATGGTCCCATTTCCATTAACTGCCAGACATGCCAGTGCACCCTGTTTTTATTGTAACACATATGGATATGATAATAAATAGAACAATAAAACATTCGCTTTATTAATCATTAAAGTATCAATCAAGAATCTTGGCTAGCTTAATACTTCAATTGCTAATCGAGCAAACAAATCTAAGTTTTAATCCTGTCATCCATATAAAAAAAAGAATCCATATAAAAAATTTTAAAAAAGAAATACTGAAAAAATACTGTAATATAAATAAAAATTAAAAAGAAATTCTAAAGTAATTGAGCCATGTAAATTTTTATCATATTGAAAGAAAAAAATCCAAGCAAGAAGAAATACCTGATGTGCTGAAAGAGTAACAGGTGCACTGGAACTACCAGCTTCGGTAGCTCCAAGATCCACCAATTGTACACTACCGAGTTTGTGGCCAGGAAAAGCCAGTAATTGCTTTTGTGCTGTCGCGAACGTCGCTATTTCCACCAAGCCCGTTGGATTGTCTCTAGTTTCAAGCGTCAACAATCTTCGAACAGGCGTGGGAAACGAAAAGACATGTATCTCTCGCTGCAGCGCCACTATCATTCTACGACATAAGAATATCTTTCTATAGAGCAGACTAAGATGTGCAAGAATTTGCATTGAGAAAACAAAAGAGGATTCCATACTTGTCCCTTCGCAATCTGACTGCTTTGATGATACTGGTAAAGGTGACTTCCATGACGAACTTCTTCAATAGATCGTCGTAAATCAGAACGGTATTATCAGCAAATTTAGCACGATTCCCACCACCTACCACGGCAATCACATTTGTTCTCCAGAGCATCTCAGCCATAGAGATGCTTCCCATTAAATCATTATCGAAATGTGCCTTTTCAACCAATGGGTCGACATTATAGATTCTCAGTCCAGATTCCATGCAGCACATAAAACAACCTGGAAAAGAGAGATTATTTCAATACTCAGTGTCATAAATATGATAATCAGAAAGAAATGACGATAAGGATCTTTAGAAAGAATTAGAGGAAAGTAAGAGTATATCTAATTAACTAATCAAAAGAGAACAATATAGAAATCATATTCAATTATACAAAAAAGTTGAAAAAAATAATATAAAAATAAATTTAAATTACAAGAAGCTTAAGAAAGATTATTTTTAGACGTCATATCTTTTATCAGAAGATAAAAAGATACACAAATCAATTGATGGGAGTAACTCCAAAAAAAGACTCAATGAAAAAAAGAATGTATTTTGCGGTTCAAATTAAAGTTTACCTTGATCCTGATTGAATCTCAGGCTATGAATGCCCCTCGCAGCCATCGTGACTCTCGCAGTTGATCAACAAAGAATCGACTATTATAATAGGAGCAGCCCTTTCGGAAAGAATTCGGGATTCTCCTCTTTTTCAGGGAAAATAACTTTTTAGCGATAGTTCACATTTCGAGTCCATGATACACGTCAATCTGCATGCTGTAAATAATTCTATTCAAAATTCTATTATTTATTAGAATTCCTTATACGAATATTATTATTTACAGTCAACAAGTGCTTTCTTACATCAGCGAGCATATGAATATATACAGAAAGAAAACTGAGGTTACACCGAGGTATGGTTGATACCAACATTATCGCCTCCACTTTTCAGGAAAATGTCGTCTAATCTCTCCCGTAAAAGTCAAATGTGATTGACTCGACATTTTTCTTCTATTCGCGCCAATTGTTTGAAATGTATTTTCGTAAAAACAAATACTAATAATAGAATTTATTTAAATTTTATTATTATTAATGTTTAATCTATGTATATATTATTAAATAATATTTCTTTATAATAATTTATGTAAAAAGAGACGTAGAAAAAAAGATGTAAAAAAGAAGCCGAAATATATGTACAAAAATATATAATATAAAAACAATATTGTTTTTTAATATATTTTTACGTCTTACGATAAAATTACCAAAAATTTTGTAGCTTTGAGAGTACCTCGAAAATTAAGTATGAACATAATGTATTTATCCAATTTTCAATATTTTTGATTAATTTTCGGTGTTCCCCAAGCGCCACAAACTTTTTAATAATGATTTTTAATAATGATCTAGGATTATATCTAGATAAAACAATCTACAAAATATTTTCTTTTACTCATAATTTGTGAGTATCCCATTATTGCGATCTATAATTGTTTTTTTCAATCCACTCGGCTCGATGTTGTGGATTGTAAACAATTGACGACAACAGAGAAAAATATCAGGGCGCTGCTTGTCTCGATCCCAGACCTGGGAGTCGATTCTGTATCTTCAAACAAGGTGAAAATTACAAAAGCGAATAAATTTACTAGATGTTGACCAATGAAATAATCAATATTCTAGTTAGAAATAATCAAAATTCGCTCATTTTTATAATTTTCACTTCATTTTAAGATACAAAATCGATCCTCTGATCTCTCCTTCGAGTGATAGACTTTCGTTCTGTCCAAGACAAAGTAAAATTTTTCAGTGTATGGAATTCCCGAGGATAGATTACTATTTGCTATTTTTTACATCTTGTCTTTTTGCTTTTTATTCGGTTTTTTGTTTTATATCACCTGAGATAAAAATTAATGAACTTTAAAAGAAACAAGAAATATATAACAAGAAATACAATTGTCGATAAAACGATTGCAAAGAAGAAAAAAGCGAAAGGTAAAAAAATAAGAAACAGAGCACATTGTAGAATAGGCTTAGACTCAAGTCCCAGAAACAATGCGAAGGAATAGCGATAGTGATAGAAATAATATGATTTCAACCTATCAGAAATCAGATACACTATATTATACAGTTTCTGATAGGTTGAAATTGTGTTATCGTTATCGCTATTCCTTCGCATTATGTCTGAGGCTTCAGGAAATTGTGTATCTTGAAATGAGGTGAAAATTACAAAAGTGAGCAAATTTACACTATAATTTTTAATGATTTCAAACAATAAACAAATCAATTTTTCTTATTCACCTTTATAACTGAATATAAAGTCTGTTTGCATATATATTTGGGCATTGAAAAGAGACAAAGATGCTGAGTGCAAACTCGAACAAATCGAATTTTAACGATATCTCAGAGATTCTTGATGAAAACGTCAAAAATTCTTGCCATTTCGAAATACATTTAATATATAATTTAATTGATATAATTTAATTGATATAAAAAAAGCTAAAAACAGCCGCGTTGAGACATTTTCATGTTGGATTGATTGATTTCCGGAATGTCCAATACGAATCAAGAAACTCTAATCTCGAGTGCGAATGTGAAGCAGCAGGCCATCTATCTGGTAACATCATAAAACGCGGTTATATTATACTAAGGTTATGTTAAACTAAGCAAATTCAAGTGAGGTTATTGATGTATTTTTCGATAACGTTGACGAGTGTCTGCACTTGCAAAGAGCGATTTTTATTCTATTGACGCGGCCTACTCTCGGAGAACAACAATGGATTTCCAGAATCGTCCAGGCGGCAAAACCGGCGGCGGCGGCGTCGCCTCCTGGTCGGAAAGTAATCGCGATCGCCGGGAGCGTCTCCGTCAGCTCGCCCTGGAGACTATTGATCTAAACAAGGATCCGTATTTTATGAAAAATCACCTGGGCTCATATGAATGTAAACTATGTCTTACTCTACACAACAATGAGGGCAGTTATCTAGCACACACTCAGGGTAAGAAACATCAAGCCAATTTAGCCAGGAGAGCTGCGAAAGAAGCTAAGGAAGCACCACAGACCCTTGCACCAGAGAAGCCTCGGGTCGAACCGAAGAAATTTGTGAAGATCGGTCGACCTGGTTATCGAGTCACCAAGCAGCGTGATCCAGAATCTGGTCAGCAGAGTCTGCTATTTCAAGTCGATTATCCGGAGGTGGCGGACAATGTGATACCACGACATAGATTCATGTCTGCCTATGAACAAAGAGTCGAGCCACCAGATCGCAAGTGGCAGTATCTGCTGTTTGCAGCTGAGCCATATGAGACCATCGCCTTCAAAGTGATTATTTCTGAAGAATGTTTTTATTAATATTAGTATTATTAAATTACTTGTCAATTGTCAATTTTGTAATATTACTTTCAAAAATTTGTAATAATACTTTAAACCTTAATTAAGTTAAAACAAATAGAAGTTCCTGTTTAAACATTCATATACATATATTTGACTTATCAGAGTTGGATAAATAAATCTAAACATATTCAATTTAAGACTATATTTCAAGACCAGCAAATAATTGACGCACAGTTTGCATAAATTGATTATAAAATTCGCATAAAAATATTGGATATCAAGATACATTTTGACTGAATGTAATTCTTTTTACACATTTATATGCTTATTTCTATGTTCTCACAATCTCTTTCTATTTGAATATTAGGTCATTCATTCCACTGAAATTGATTTGAAATCACTGAAATGAATTTGAATAATTAAAACAGAAATTTTTATCTGTTTAATATAAATGATACTTAAAAGTAGAAAAGCTTTTCTTTATTCGATATAATCGACATTTTCTTTATTCACATAATCAATGTTATAGGTTCCTAGTAGAGAAGTAGAAAAGGCAGAGGGAAAGTTTTGGACTCACTGGAACAAGGACACAAAACAATTTTTCTTGCAATTTGCATTTAAAAACGAGAAGCCGTCTGTGGGTAAAGTACCACCACCGCCAGTTCCTCTGATAAGACCAGGATTAGGCCCGATGGTGCCTGTTCCACCACCTCCACCCAGACCACCAATGTTTAATCCGGTACCACCACCACCAGCTCTCTTGGCACCCGGGATGCAAATACCTCCACCACCACCTCACATAGCATAAGAAATCTGGAATACAATACATATTTATATAATCTTTTTCATTTTATTATTAATGCTTAAATCTTCGCTATCTACATGTTACAAAAGATCGATTTTATTCTAAATCACAAAAAAATTAAAATGTGTTTAGATTGTGTAATATAAGTGAAATCTAATTATAATTTTATAAGAATAAAACAAATTGTGAGAAAGGAACAAGACGAATGTGATTAAAAAAATGTTTATTTATCATTTCATCGAGATACATTCTCTGTAAATTAATGCCGATTTTCTATTTGACAGGTTGCATCAAAGTTTGAGTACTTACAAAGTACACGTTTATGGAGATTGATATTCTAAAAATAAAACGTATAAATTAGCATTTTGTTTACATAAAATATTTAAGGATATTTCATAAAATTAATCAGAATGCAACGATCTACACTAATGCACAACATTACATTAAAATGCTTTTCAGACCGCCCGTTGCTGAATCATCACAATACAAAGATATCACCAAAAAAAAAAGTTTAAAGGGAGATTAACATACTCGATGATTTACGCGCACAAAACACATGCCCCACCAACTGCCTTGATCTTGTCCTCTGCCTGTTTACTGAAGAATTTAGCCTTTACGATAACAGGTTGCTTCGGCAGACGTCCTTTTCCTAGGAGTTTGTAATATCCCTGAAAAAAAGTTAATATTGATCAATAATTTATATATTTTATATGCCAAAATACAAGTGCAAACTTAAAACTAATTAAATTGTCACATTTTATTGTACAATCTTTTTTTAAATATTTTATAATCAGAATGCAACATTCTACAGGAATATAAGTATTGTACAGTACTTTTCAGTCCGCCCGTTGCAAATCATCATATGAGAAAATACAATATAAATATTTAAAGAAAAATATGATACATTGGAACTTTAATAGTGAACCTCGAAAAAACGCACAGCGCTTATGAAGCTCTAATGTACATAAAATTATGATATTACAAAAAAATCACTTACCGCTTTTACAAGATCGATTACCGGAGCTTTGCCTTCAACATCTTTGTACTTCAATCTCGTCTGTTCAGAGACCAGAGTCCACAATTTGTCTAGATTTATAGTGGGACACCATTTAGTGTTACGTCGTAGATGATAATTTCTCATACCGAGCTGTAAGTTGAAGAAAAAAATATCAATTATTAGTCAATTTATAAATTCTCAAATAACATTTTTATATATTAGAAGTTATTCAGATTATACAAATACAATCAATATAATTCAGTTCGCCGGTGAAAATTGAAGTCTCATCATCTGATATATAAGATCTTTCTAGCTGAATTTCTTGCATCGTTCGTCTTTCCATTTTATTTTTCTCCAACATTAAAAGAAAAAGAAGAAAAATAAATCATGCAAAAAGCTAAAAAGACCTAGCTATCTTTATTGAGCAATATCATATAGATGTATTCTTACCTTTCCAAAATAACCAGGATGGTATTTGTCAAAGTTGATTCGGTGATGGTGCATACCACCGGCGTTACCGCGACCACCTGGGTGTTTCCTATGCTTGCCTAAAAGATAATAAATAAAATAATATATTAATCACTGTATCTTTAATATATCTATCGATAAAAAGAAAGAAAACAATTTATGTCAAAAGTTAAATCAAAATACAGAAGTCAGGACATATGAGGAATAATCATACAAAAAATGAAGCATCTTTAATTCCATCTAATAACTTTAGTCGAAATTTTTATCCAAGGATTCAAGTTGAAATTTTGCAAGAAATATTCTACATTAATAAAAATTTAATTTTTTCTTTTTCAAGAACAAGAATGTGAAATTTTAATCTCAAATTCATAATTATGTATTGTGCTGTTTATTTATTAGCATCATTTATTATATTACTAATACTAGTTTTTATTTACTTTATACACGTGGTTATAGCTACAAATTTTATCGGATAAACTTACCAACGCGACCGTGGCCATGGCTCACGTGTCCACGTAACTTCCTGGTTTTCTTCTTGTGTGTAGACTAGGTAAACATAACGAAATAATGCAAAAAATCAATAATACACAATGATGACTAATGTTGAAATTATCGATTGATTTGAAAACTGTCTTCGATTATGTTATTCAATATGAAATAAAAATGTTTAGGTTAACATTATCCGGTCTAGTAAAGACACATCGTAACATTCTCTTCGCGAATGTAATAAATGCAGAAAATTATCCATGATGATGTTAATTATATGTTTAATGGAAATAAACTGTAAATAGTGCGACGATGTCTTTGATTTCTCTGGATTATTCCGGAGATAGCACAACACAAAAACACTCACCATCCCAAGGAAGTAATGAAGGAAAAGAATCGTAACAGTTCTGCCAATGCAAATCCATCAAAATGTACATTGCGCATGCGTATTGGAAAGCTCCGCCAGCAAATTAACGGAAATGCTTCAAATGTGACGGTCAATAAGGTAGATTCGCGACTTGCAACTTGGTTATCGTCTGCCGCAAAAAAACTACGTGTGATTAAAAAAATAATATATTTTCATTTTCTTCGAATTGCATATTTTATTTATTAATAAATCTTTCTATTATTATTATTATTTTATATCACTTTAGGAAGTGTAAAATAATAAGAGAGTTCCGTTAGTCCATCTATTTACATACATTGGCCAGTGCCTAGTAATTTTCCTGTGTACATTACCAATAAGAATATTTTATATTAAATTTACCACTTTTTTAAATATTGTGGACAATCGAATCTTTTTCAATATAAGATATACATAAAATTAGATACGTTAATAACTAATTTAAATGATGTATTAACAAAATAATTAACAAAATTATTGATATAAAACTGATTAAAAAAAATTAATACATAATTATATAAAATTTTTTTACAAAAAATGTAAAAGTTACAATTACTTTTATATTTAAAACACAGATGTGTCACATAAAAATAAATTCCTTTTTCCTAAAAAAATAAGAATACATAACACAATTGATTGGATGATATATATTGTTCTTACACAAGAGCTAAAAGTGAACAAAGAAATATGAGAATAAGTATAAATTTAATATTTATTTTCAATTTATGGTATACCTATATAATATCTATACATAATTTAATTCGTAGTAAAAATATTTATTGTCTATAAAGCTGTTAATTTTTATCAAATTTTTTAGTTGACGGCGTTAATGAAACTTTGGCGGTGTCAGAGTTAGCTCTCGTTTATGCTACTTATCAAAATGCACATTTTGATGTGGTTATGTACTTTACGAATAATCTGGTCCCAGGTAATTCTGGTGTGTCTTCGCGCGTTGTTTTAGGATATGTATATATACATTGGATATGTATATATACATTGTTTTAATATTAAAATATGTCCTTTCATCTACTTCATATGCAACCTATAATTCTCCTTTGCCCAGTATCCTCCAAGTCTAAAAGGAATATTATTTCTTTTGAATATATAAAATTAAAATATAGAAAATAAACAATATTCGATACGGTTAATAATAGCGCTATATAAGGATTTGATGTTTTCATAAAAAGCTTTTGATAAAAAGATAAAGTATGAATTATAATGAAGAAATGAATGAAAATTGGTAATAATATAAGCAATATCGATGTAAAAGAGAGTTACATGATATAAGCTAATTAAATTTTAATTTACAGTCCGATATATTTCATATGAATATATAATATATTAGGTCTGGGAAAAAGTTCGTGGCGTTTTTTTAATGCCACGAGAAAAACGCCACGAACTTTTTCCCACACCTAATAATATATAT